GCCTCCTGGGTTCAGGCAATTCTCCTGCCTCAGCCTCCTGAGTAGCTAGGACTACAGGCACGCACCACCATGCCCAGCTAATTTTTTGTATTTTTAGTAGAGACAAGGTTTCACCATGTTGACCAGGATGGTCTCGATCTCTTGACCTCGTGATCCACCCGCCTCAGCCTCCCAAAGTGCTGGGATTACAGGCTTGAGCCACCCCGCCCGGCCCTACTTTTTCTTCTTCTTTTTTTTTTTTTTTTTGTGGAGGGGAAACCCCTCAAGAGCCAAGGCAAGGGCCTGCGGCCTCAGTCTGTTCTCATATAAATATTGAATTAGAAAAGAATTACAGATATAGTTACATAGTTATTCCTATATATAATCGTAAATAATCACATAGCTATTCACATGTAATCATAAATATACATATATACAATCATATCATCTTTAGTTTTACTAATAAGTCTCAAGTCATGAAGTATGGAACTGAAGTGGCATTGGAAGAGGTGACCTTAAGGCAAGGTGCTCTAAGCCCACTGTCCCGCCCGCATGAGGGCTGCTGGAGAGCGCCCTGGCTGTGCGGCAGCGCCAGCGCTGTGAAAACATCCACTGTACAGCCAGTGAGGGAAGGAAATGTCCAAAACGGCCGAGACATCCCCTTCCTGGGGGAGTGAGGAGAAAACTCCGCTTCTCCAAGCTCTTGTGGTGGGCCTGGGGGCTGTCAGGGGCCCGCAGACACTGGGGACTTCACTGTCTCTACGTGAGGCTGTGCCTAAGCACTTCCATGGCTGCTTTCAAGTTCTGCTTCTGCACCTGGTTCCTCTCTTTCTTCTAAGATGAGAATTAGTAACAGTAACATAAATTTTAACGTCCTTGATATTCTTGACAAATATGAAAAAAGTGCTGACGCCTCAGGTCTTCTCGCCTCCGCTTCTTGAAAATCCTGAGCCCCTATTTCCAAGACACGTGACTTGTCTGGCCCTATGACAGACCACCATTCCCTCGCCCTACCTACCTGCCCCCTGCTTTGTACTCAGTAAAAGAGCGTCCAGGCACTCGGGGCCACTGCCGGTCTCTACGCTTTGGGTAGCAGTGGACCCCAGGCCCAAACTCTCTTTTCTCTATTTCCGTGTCCTGTGTCTTTATTTTCACAGTTTCTCATCTCCACACCTGTAGAGAGGGACTCACAGGACCCTGTAGGTCTGGACCCTATAGTTACCAATCTGTTACTTTTTTTTCTTTTCTTGAGACAAAGTCTCTCTCTGTTGCCCAGGCTGAAGTGTAATGGTGCAATCTTGGCTCACTGCAATCTCCACCTCCTGGGTTCAAGTGATTCTCCTGCCTCAGCCTCCCAGGTAGCTGGCACTACAGGCGTGTGCCACCACTCCTAGCTAATTTTTGCATTTTTAGTAGAGACAAGGTTTCACCATGTTGGCCAGGCTGGTCTCAAACTCCTGACCTTAGGTGATCCGTCTGCCTCAGCCTCCCAAAGTGCTGGGATTACAGGTGTGAGCTACCGTGCCTGGCCCAATCTGTTGTTTTTCTTTTTCTTTTTCTTTGTTTTTTGAGATGGAGTCTTACTCTGTAGTCCAGGCTGGAGTGTAGAGGCTCGATCTTGGCTCACTGAAACCTCTGCCTCCCAGGTCCCAATTCAAGCATTCTCCTACCTCAGCCTCCCAAGTAGCTGTGATTATAGGCACGAGCCACCATGCCCAGCTAATTTTTGTAGTTTTTAGTACAGATGGGGTTTCACCATGTTGGCCAGGCTGGTCTTGAACTCCTAGCCTCATGATCTGCCCGCCTCAGCCTCCCAAAGTGCTGGGATTACAAGCATGAGCCACCACGCCTGGCCCAATCTGTTATTTTTCTATCTTTGTTTCTTCATTCTCCTCACCTTATAAAACCCACGGTCCTGCTAGCTCCCAGACAGGGGCTTTTATTCTATTTTGTAGAATGCAGGCTGCCTCAATTCATGAATTACAAATAAAAGCCAACAAGACCTATGACTACATATGAGATAATTTTGCCTCTGAAATTTAAAGTGAACTTTCCCTTTTCTGCCTAAAAGGCTTCTCCTTGCCCAACTCCCCCAGTGCAGCACCTACGGTCCTGTTACAGTGAATCCCAAGTTTCTCTGCAAAGAATCAGTATGACAGTATGTTCAGCTCTCTTATTCTTTAATTCTCCATTTTAAAGCTTAACTTCCTTGTAATTCCAGTAAACAACCTTCTCCACTGGTTCTAATCAGTAGTTCACATCTGTTCCCCTGGCCCCCGGCTCCATCCTGACTCATCCCGGCCACCTGCTCCACTGACCCACCCATAATCATCCTTCCCGCCAGAACACCCACCCTGCCACTCCAGCTTGGACCCCTGCTCTCTTTCAAACAGCCAGTCCGGATTAGTCTAGCTTGTGAGGTCTAACCCTACCCAATTACGACACAGCAGTAGGGACGACCCCCATCAGGCAGAAGTACCCTTTCCCGCCTTATCCAAGCTTGTGGCCGCCATTGTTCCACCCCTACACTGCACCCTTCTATAGAAGAAAACTGCCTTGCTGAGAGGGCTTATCGAGTGCTATTTCTTTGGAGGCACTGAAATTTTACTTACAACAGTCTGACACAGCACGTGTATTCCAGGTTGCAATCCTTGCCCAACAAACTGTTTTATTATTATTATTTTAAAAGCTAGAGACGAGGCTGTGCCATGTTGCCTAGGCTGGTCTCAAACTCCTGGGCAACCGATCCATCCATGCTGGACTCCAAAAGTGCTGTTCTCCACCATGCCTGGCCCCAACACATTTTTTAAAAAATGCTTTATTTTTTAAAGTTTGAAGTTTTTTCTTGCCGTTCTGCAGTTCAAATTCATCTTTTTTTTTTTTTTTTGAGACAGAGTCTCACTCTGTTGTTCAGGCCAGAGTGCCGTGGCTCAATCTCAGCTCACTGCAGCCTCCACCTGCCAAGTTCAAGCAATCCTCCTGCCTCAGCCTCCTGAGTAGCTGGGATTACAGGGGTACACCACCACACCTGGCTGATTTTGTATTTTTAGTAGAGATGGGGTTTCACCATGTTGGCCAGGCTGTTCCTGAACTCCTGGCCTCAGGTGATTGCCCATGTCGGCCTCCCAAAGTGCTGGGATTACAGGCATGAGCCACCATGCCTGGTCTTCAATAAATATTTTTAAAAATTTAAAGTAATTTCTAGAAATAGGGTTTCATGGCCAGGTGCAGTGGGCTCATGCCTGTAATCCCAGTACTTTGGGAGGCCGAGGTGGGTGGATTACCTGAGGTTAGGAGTTCAAGACCAGCCTGACCAACATGGTGAAACCCCGTCTCTACTAAAAATACAAAAAGCCGGGTGTAGTAGCAGGCGCTTGTAATCCCACCTACTCGGGAGGATGAGGCAGGAGAATCGCTTGAACCCAAGAGGCAGAGGTTGTAGTGAGCCGAGATCGCGCCACTGCACTCCAACCTGGGTGACAAGAGTGAAACTCCGTGTCAAAAAAAAAAAAAGGAATAAGGTCTCACTTTGTCACAGACACTGGAGTGCAGTGGCACGGACACCGCTCACTGCACCCTCGACCTCCCAGGTTCGAGCGACCGTCGCACGTCAGCCTCCCGAGCAGCAAGGACTACAGGCATAAAAACGTTTTTAAAGTTTTTGGAACATAGGGGTTTCCTGGGTTTCCCTATGGTGCCCAGGCTGGTCTCCAACTCCTGGCGTCCAGCGATCCTCCCGCCTCGGCCTCCCAAAGAGCCGGGATCACAGACGTGAGCCACGCACCCGGCCACATTCCCAGGCTAACGGTTTTGAAGAGTGGCCTCTCTCCTGCTCAACACAGGCTGACACACGTCCTCCCTGCGGGTTGGAACGGGCCGGCGGGGTCGTTGGTCAGTTAGGTCCCTGCAGTGTCGATGGAGGGCGGAAGCGGCGCTGTGACATAAGCGGGAGGCGGAGGGCTGGCGCAGCGCTGTGACTTAGTGGACGGAAGCAGGGCCCACGCTGCACAGAGACACTCCTCTGAGGGACATGGCGGTCAACGTACGGAGTGGGCGGGGCCGGCGGGTCGTGACGTCAGTACGCGCTGGGTGGACGCGGGCCTGCGCGGCTCTGTGAACGTAAGCAGGGGAGGCGTGCTGGGAGGGCGGCGTGCTGGGAGGGCGGCGTGGTGTACGCCCCTGCGGGCTCGGCGGTGACGTAAGTCCCTTGCTGGCGGGAGCGGGGCCGGCGCGGCACTGAAGTACTTCCCTAAGGGCGGGGAGGAACGAGACGTGGGCGGGGCCGGCGCCTAATGACGTCAGTCTCGCGCTCGGGCGGAGGTGGGCCGGCGCAGCGCTGTGACGTAATGCAGTGGAAGAAGGAGGTGGCCCCGGATGTTGCGGCGCCCGCTGGCCGGGCTGGCTGCGGCCGCCCTGGTCCGGGCCCCTCCGGACGGTGAGTACGAGGGCGGTCGCGAGGGTGAGTCGGTGCGCAGGCGACGTTGTCCCCTGCGCTTTGCAGGCGCCCAATCCGCGCCGCCTCCGGAGCTCCTCTTAGCCGGGATGCCCTGTGCTGCGTTCACCTGCGGGCCCTGAGAACTGGGGACCTCTGGAGGGCAGACGGGCAACGCAGGGCGCCCCGGTTCCGGAGGGCGGGGCGCTCCTCCTCAGGAGCTGGGCCGGCCGGGAGTTTTCGGTGTCAAGCGGCTCCTCGGAGCGTAGGAGCGCACGGTGTCTTCCCGCCAGCGGGGCGCGCCGCCAAAGAGAGCAGCCAGGAATCCCTACCGCCGGCCCGGGCGGTGTGCGCTCCGGTTCCCACCCCAGCCTGCATGCCCGGGGGTCCTGGGAGGATGGAGCCGGCTACTCCGGGGCTCCTAGGATTCTGCGGGCGGTTCTTGCCTGCCCTGTGGCCCGGCGCAGAGACAGAGGCTTCGGGAAACAGCAGGCCTTCCCGACGCATGAGTGCGGCATTTGGGGTTCTAATTCTCCCAAGGCCAGAGTCCAGGTTGGGGTTCTTGAAGCTGCCCAGCTGCCGTTCTTGAGCGTTGCCTTAGAAGTATGCCCCAGGAAGGACTGCTGTGGGAGCAGGTGCCGCAAGGTTGATTTTGACCGTGGGTGTGTTGGGCCTTGGTTTCGCCTCTGCATGAAACAGGCCGGCCGATCCTGGGGCCCCGGGTGGGTCCTGCTCTGCTGTCCTTGGGCTCCTGGCCCCTTCCTGTCTCAGGCTTGCTCTGCCCGTTGCCTAGGGTTAGTGTCGAGGACCCTGTGGAAGACTCGGCCGGTTTTTCTTTCTCCTTGATGGGCAGGCCCAAACGGCCGCGCAGCATCGTGGGCCTTCCCCCGTCTGTGGCTCTTGAGGGCCCGGTTTTCTCAGGAGGTAAAGGAACATTCCTCTCCCCCTGGAGAAAAAATAGTGAAAAGGAAAGCTCCCTGGCTGCCCCTGGTGTGGTCCGGTTTAAAACAAGGTTGCAGAAGGTGAGGACACGTGCTACCCGGATGTGTACTCAGAGTCCCTGCTGCCAGAGCGGCCGCCTGGACCAGCCTCCCCTTCATCCAGCCGGCCCAGCCCAGAGCCCAGGCCCGTGTCTGATGGCTTGCGTCTTACTAAGAGGCCAGGCGGGATCTGACTTCTCTCCCTTCTCAGAAAGTCGAGCTCTCTATTAGCATCTCCTGGAACAGTGGGCGGAGGGCGGGGTGGTGACTGTGTTCAGTCCTCAGGATGGCTGGAAGCCAGAAGGAGGAGATTCTGCCGCTAGAGCAGGAAGTGCCTTTCTAGTAAAGCGGCTGCTGGAGCAGCATGGGGAGCCCAGTCCAGGGAGCATGGCAGAGAGCATTCCGGAACATGGATCTGTGCCAGGCTCCCAGGAGACCTTCCATCTCGGAGCTCCTGTGGAGACCACGTGCCTGGCAGGTCCTTACAGCTGTGGGTTGTGTGGCTTATTGCCAGGCAGCTGGATGGAGTTTGCGACTGTGGGTTGGTGAGAGTGGAGGACACAGACTGTTGTTTGCTGAAATGCTTCCCACTGCCCACAGGAAGACACCTTTGGCACGTGTGTTCTGCTCAGGGCAAAGTCAGGTTCTGTGGTTTCCACCTCAAGATTGCACGACCCATCAGGCCTGGGCCACAGCTTTCTCTTTTGGGTGTGCTCTGTGGAAGGTGGCTTTGGTGACCGCCCTGCCACTGGTCCCTTCCCAGGCAGGCAGGCAGCTTGTGCCCCCGCCCTGTCTCCAGCAGTGATGTGGCTGTAGTTCCGCAAGGCCTCCACCCTCTAGCTGTCTGCCCTCTGCACCCCCGGCTGGCCAGGACCCCAGTGGTCTATGCATTGTGCCCTCACACTTGGCCAGAGGCAAACTCAGGGGACCTAGGAAGAGCAGATTGTCGGGCTGCCCAGAGTTCTTGGCGGTTGGTATGCCGCATGTGCCTTGTGCCCTGTCCTGGGTGAGAGTGGGCACAGCTGTACAGGCAATGCCCTTGGCTCAGCCAGAGACTGGACCCCTGCCTGGCAGCAGCTGAGCGAACTGGGGTCTTCTGCTTGCGGGCCCAGCCTCACCTCAGTAGCTTAGTGCATGCACCCTCAGGAGGGAGGAGGGGAGGCCTAGAAGCCTGGGCTTGTGGGGTAGTAAGGGAGGTGCAGGGGCAGCACCTGTGGAAGAAGCAGGTGGGGGTGGGGCCTCCAGCATCCGCTCTCTGCTCTGTGCTGGGTTGCTTCTGTCTGTGTTTCTGATCATTGCCAGGGCCCTGTGGTGAAAAGACGCACCTGCTGCTCACTGCTTGCAGGGAGAAGGGGGAGATCCCCAACCCAGGAGCTAGAGATGGGGCTCCAGCTACCCCCCAGTCCCAGGATTTGGAAGTGAGGCACAAAATCCCCATATCCCGGGCGTCGGGATGGAGTTTGGGGTTGAGAGGGTTGGAGACCAGGGTCTGGTTGTGGTTTGGTGGGATCCTCAGAAGGTGTGGCTCTTCCCCTTCTGAGGACGCACACGGGGTGCTGAAGCTCCATTTCTTGTGGTGGGTTGACCCTGGTCACCCCTGTGTTTCCTTCCATATGGATTTGTAGTGACGTGGCATCTAGGTTCAGACCCTAAGAGCCTGGAGCCAGGGACTGTGGGGAACTGGGCAGGACCGGCCTCAGGGCAGCCCTGTCGGGCCGACCAGTGCTGTGCTTCTTTGGGGTGGTGGAGAAGAGTGACCTTGAGAAGGGCCACCTCACTGGAGCAACTGGGCAGAAGCTTACATGGGGTCCAGCCCACAGGGCCATCTGGGTAGCCCTCCCATACTGGGTCCTTTGAGGCGCAGGATCTAGTTCTACTTTTTCTCCTTTGTATTGGAAAGGTCACCGTGAGATTATTGAGTGTTAATTTCTGTGATCCTGATGCATTAAACACGTGTGTAGCAATTGCTGGATGTGTCCTGAGAACTGCACCCCTTCCACCCTGGCGAGAAGCAGGGGATCCAGAAATTCATGCAGGTGTCATGGATCCTTGACTGTGGGAGGCTCAGGGGGGCTCCAAGCTCCAGCATTGTGGGAACCAGGCTATGGGGGTTGCAGGGCTTGCCAGCTGGGAGAAGCTGAATGGATGAGAGCCCTGGCCACTGCGGTGCATGCTGGTGGCTGGCTGGTATGCAGAGGAGGTGGCAGGGCTGGGTGAGCAGCAGGAGCCAAGTGAGTGGGGAGGCTGGAGCCAAGTGCAGGGGCCACTTCTGTGGGTGGGAGAGCCAGGAGACCATGGCGGGCATGCTGAGGTGAAGGTGACATGTGCTTGTGACAAGAAGCCCAGAAGAGGCAGGAAGGAGGGAGGAGTCACTTCCTTAGGAGCACACATGGGCTTCTGGGTGGGTGCGCTGCAGCTCCCTAACTCCTGAGTCTTTTCACTGGTGGTCTTGTGTGTTTGTGATCAGTGGCGTGTATGTGTGTGCATGTGCGGGTACACGTGTGTGTGCATCTGCTTGGTGTGCATGCAACTGTCTGCATGTATGTGCTGTGTGTACGTGTGTGTGTGTGTTTGCGGTAGGCTTGTGCACATATCCTGCATAGCTTTGTGCCTGGGAGTGGCACGTGTGTGGTAGGTGCCTCATGCATGCTGGAGTTGCGGTGGTGGTGCATTTGTGAGATTACCTCGGTGGCCTAAATTGGGGATTAGGAGGGCATCCTCAGGTCCTTCCTACTGTCTGCTCCTCTGCCCGCAGGCAGCTGTGCCCCAAGCAGGAGGAGGCCATCGTGCCTCACCTGAGTTGTATCCAAGGTGTGTGTGTGTGGCCAGGGGCCCTGTCCACCTCCTTCTACCCCGGTCCCTGAATGCAGTGGCAGTGCACTGCTCCTCCCCTCAGCTCTGCTCCCCACCGCAACTCAAAGACACAGCCCTGGCCCTGTGTGCGTAGCTCACCGTGGGCTGTGTGGGCAGGGCACGTGCAGGTCTTGGGACAAGAACTGGAGCTGTCTTTTCCTTCCTGCACAGCCAATGCCAGGTAGACGGGGCTGCCTCCCTGCAAGGGCTGAGGGCCAGGCCCCCTGGGGATTTATTCCTGGTTTAGAAGGGCGGGGCCGGAAGCAGGCGTGGTGAGGATTAGGGATTCAGCTCTCAGTCCAGCAGGCAGACCCGCCCTGGGCTGGCCACAGAGGCCACACACCAGCAAACAGGTAGGCCCTGTTCCTGGGGAGGATCCCCACCTGACACAAGTGTCCAAGCTAGGATACTGTTTGCTTCCCCTTGGGGGCTAGTGGGGAGGCCTCCAACCCCCTGCTGGCATTACCAGCATCACAGATAGGAGTCCGAATTCCGATGAGAAGTTCCTCGAATGGGTATAGATTCAGCAGACCTTAACAAGGCCACACCTGCAGGGCATGTTGCCGGAGGACAGAGGCAGGACAGGGACACTTCTATCCCAGACCTGGCAGCCCAGCACTCAGCACCGCATGAGAGCCAACGGCCAGGCTCCTGGGTGGGGTGGGGGGTCTCACGACAGGCTCCCAGAGGGCTTGGAGGTGACTGTACCAGGTAGGGACGGCAGCTACTGGGGAGGGTATCAGAGTAGATGGCACCGCTTGCCAGGGACCCCTGGGGAGGCTGACAGTTCAGTGGGTTTGAGAGATGGTGGATTTCAGTGGGGGGCCTCCCCTGCTGAGAACCCAGTAAAGCTGGCCCAGAGCCTGGTCTGAGGGCTGACGTGCACTCAGGCTCTCAGGAGACTCTCAGGCCAGTGTCTCCATCTGCAGGTCAGCCCTTTCCTGCCAGGAACTCAGGAAGGCAGAGGCAGCTCAGCGGGGGTGGGGGGGGCACCCAGAGGCCCCACGCTATCCTCTCCTCTCACAGCCTCTCCTTGCACCCCCAGGCATGTCGGGCCCCCGGCCTGTGGTGCTGAGCGGGCCTTCGGGCGCTGGGAAGAGCACCCTGCTGAAGAGGCTGCTCCAGGAGCACAGAGGCATCTTTGGCTTCAGCGTGTCCCGTGAGTGCAGGGCACCTGCGGAGGGGTGCATGGACCTCAAGGCTGCTGGGCAGTCCCAGCGCTGTGAGCAGGCCAGGAGCCTCCACCCAGCAGGCACACCTGCCCTGGGGACTGTCCCCTCTCCTGTACACTCCCTCCGCACATGTGTACATACACACACACACGCACGCATGCACACCCTGCACCCTGGGGACTGTCCCCACTCCGGCACACCCCCCCCAGTGCACATGTGCATGCACACACACACGCCCTATGCCCTGGGGACTGTCCCCACTCCCGCACACTCCCCCCCCAGTGCACATGTGCATGCACACACACACGCCCTATGCCCTGGGGACTGTCCACTCCTGCAGCACCCTTACCCCTCCCCCACAGAACCTGAGGCTGTTGCACTCCTGCTGTCCCGTGTGCCTGTGTCTCCCTTCCCTGGGTCTGCTGAGCACTGATAACTGCCTTTCTGGGAGAACCCTCTCCCTGTAGCTCCTGTGCCTTCCCTGACATGTGCTCCTGCATCCTGGGGCTCAAGTGCTGTCGGGACTGCAAGGGAAACGCTGGGTGGGGCAGTGGGCTCCGAGCAGTCCCTGATGGGTGACAGGTCTCTCTGCCAGATACCACGAGGAACCCGAGGCCCGGCGAGGAGAACGGCAGAGGTGAGTGGGGTGGGGCCCTGTGGCTGGAGCACCCCTGGTGCGAGCGGGCTACTGGGCCCTGCAGCTTTGTGGCTGTGCCGCCCATCCCCTGCCCCCGTTGGTCCTCATCTGTGAGAAGGGTCCCTGCCTCCCAGGGCCAGTGAGCTCAGTCAGGGTGTCAGCGCCCTGCTTTTCTGGGTAGAGTGTGAAAGGCCAGCCAAGGCCCAGGGTTGTCTTCCTCCCACCCTGGAGGCGGCCACAGTGCTGCTGTCCCCAGCTCTATCCTGGGCTTGGCACCTATCAGCACTTTTGAGCTGTCTTCTGGTAAACAGGGCTACTCTGCCTGCCTGATTCAAGACAAGGGAGTCCTCTCCTGACAGCACCCCACCCCTAGCCACACAACCCAGTGGTCTCCAGTCCTTCCCCCCAACTCCCCCTGGAACCCAGCAGCCTTGAGTCTCCGTCCATGAGGAGAATGTGGGCACCTGGCAGCACTTAAGGGGTCCTCAGACATCTCCCCAGCAAGGGTCTGACCGAAACAGCCGTGGGTGTGGGAGGGGCCTGCAGGTGTGCCTGGGTTGGGGGCGGCTGGCCCTGGTGCAGGCCTCGACTGCCCTCTGGACAGCCCCTCCTCCTCCCCAGATTACTACTTTGTAACCCGGGAGGTGATGCAGCGGGACATAGCGGCTGGCGACTTCATCGAGCATGCTGAGTTCTCGGGGAACCTGTACGGCACGAGGTGGGCCTCGAGTGGGCTCCCGGGGTTGTGAGTGTGGCCCAGGGCCAGGCTCCATCTGTGGCCTGTGGTGGCCCTTTTCACAAGAGTACTGGGCCCGGTCCTGCCACCGTGCACTGTCCTGGTAGGGCGAGGGGTGCACAGGACACCTTGTGCTCACTACAGGCACCTTGGGCGAGGGTGGCTTCTGTTCCCTGTAGGTGGGGTGGGCCATGGGGGTAGCAGGCTTGGGGTGCTCCTGGAGGTGCCGTGGGATGCTGGGTCTAGGCCAGGCCTAGGCTCAGCTGTGGGAGGAGAGAGCTGGGCCCTGGAGGGCCTGAGTGTCCCTGAAGCTCCTGTAGGCACCCTGCTGACCTGGCACCTGCCCCCAGCAAGGCGGCGGTGCAGGCGGTGCAGGCCATGAACCGCATCTGCGTGCTGGACGTGGACCTGCAGGGCGTGCGGAACATCAAGGCCACCGACCTGCGGCCCATCTACATCTCCATACAGCCGCCCTCACTGCACGTGCTGGTGTGTGCCGGGCAGGTGGGGGCTGGGGGCCGGGCTGCGCCGGGCTCTGACCACCACCCCCTTTTCAGGAGGAGCGGTTGCGGCAGCGCAACACCGAGACAGAGGAGAGCCTGGAGAAGCGGCTGGCTGCTGCCCGGGCTGACATGGAGAGCAGTGAGTGTGCAGCGGGGCGCCCGGCCTGCCAGGAGGGGAGGCTGGTTGTGAGGCCTGCAGCACCAGGGACCCTATGGGTCCCCAGACCTCCCAACACCCGGAGTCCCTGTGAGGGTCGTCAGGCCTCCCAACTACCTTCCGACACCTGGAGTCCTCATGAGGGTCCCCAGAACCCACCCAATCACCAAAGGTCTCATTGAGGGTCCTCAGATCCCCCTCTGTTACCCAGAGTCTCCATGAGGTTCCCCAGATCCCCCATCACCCAGGGTCCCCTGAGGTGTCCCCGACCTTGTAGCCCTGGGGGTGTCAAGTGCATCCTCTTACAGCTGTCACCTCTCCCCTGGGTCTGAGTGCAGCCCACAGGAGGAGGGCATTTAACGTTCTGCTCTGTCAGTACAGGACAGTGCTGCCCCTAACCAGAGTCCTGACAAGTGCTGGTGTCCAGGGTCTGGGGCTCCAGAGAGCAGGAGGGGCGCCTGAGAACAAGGCCCAGGGGGTGGCCCTTCCCCATGCTGCACAGGCCCGGCCAGGCTGGAAAGCTGTCCGCCAGCCACAGCAAGGACAGCCGCAGGCCAGTGGGCAGCTCTGGGGTCATGTGTGACCTGGGGTGGGGCTTTGTGGACTCACTGTGGCCTGACCCCAGGCCCTACCCCCAGGCAAGGAACCCGGCCTGTTTGATGTGGTCATCATTAACGACAGCCTGGAGCAGGCCTACGCGGAGCTGAAGGAGGCGCTGTCTGAGGTGGGCCCCATCCTCCTGCCGACCTGGGCAGGTCCAAGGGGAGGCCTGGGGCCAGGGCTTTGTTGCCCACAAGGCCCCTGTGATCAGATGGGACAGTCCTACCCAAGTACTGGCATGAGACACTGTGGTCCACCATGGAGGGAGTGCAGGAGGCCTGGCCCTTCCTGGATACCAGCCCTCCTGACCCGCTTCCTCACTGCAGGAAATCAAAAAAGCTCAAAGGACCGGCGCCTGAGGCTGGCTGTCTCTTCTCGGCACCCCGGGTGCATCCGGGACCAGGGCAGCAGCACTGAGCAGCCCCCTTGGCAGGCCCTACGGCAGCTCTGTGCCCTTGGCTGGCGTGTGGAGTGGAGGGGATGCATCTCCTGTGGTTGGACCATGCTGGGGTGACCCCAACCCAGCCCCACCGGGCTGTCCCTCAAACACTGGACCCCGGGCTGACATACTAATAAAATAATGGTTGGATTAGAGAGTCCATAAATGAGTGGGGCGTGGCCCTAATGTTGGTGTGGGCCCGGTCGTGATCTGGCCCCAGGTGGGCTCTGCCCAGGCATCTGTTTCCTGCTGGACATACAGGCAGGGAAGGTGACGGGGCCAGTGCCAGCCCACCCGGCGGGCCAGCAAGCGGGAAACAGGCAGCGGCTGCACGTCCCAGCCTGAGGCTGCAGGGGTGGGTCCTGGGGGATACCTCTTGGTGCCCTGAGCTCCTGTGGGCCTGGCATTGGCCACGGGTTCCAGGAGAGGCCCCTGAGCCCCAGCAGCTGGAGGTTCCAGAACTCAAGGTCTGGGGGCTTCCCTGAGGGAGATGCCTGAGTGGAGGGCAGCTGCCCCTCCCTCCCGGCCCTGGGGACTGTGTTGTGTGTGGGGAGCCGGGAGCCGCCTCAGGCTGCCTCCCTCCCTCCCCAGTGCTCCCGCAGCCTGCCAGTCTCAGGCAGCACAGAGCAGTGCTGCCAGCCACCCCTAGGGTCAGCCCCAGTCCTGGTCTGAGCCCAGGTGAGGTGCTCCTGGGGTGGGGTGCAGACAGATCAGCACCCTGGATGTGAGAGAAGGAGGCAGGCAGGGCGCCCAGCCGGAAATGGAGGCGGGGAGCAGAGTCCCCGCCCAGAACCCAGACGCTGGCTGCCAGATGATACGGGCCAGAGCCGCCCGTGCTGGGCGGCAGGGCAGGGGAGGGGAGGTCATGGGCAGCCCCCAGGGCAGGTGGACTGAGCTTCTGAGGCTGGGGCTGGCCTCCGACCTGCTTGGGCCTGGAAAGCCCTGCCCGCCGCCCCACCCCCCAGGACAATCAGGGATTCAGACCCTGAGGCCGAGGGGGGAACAATGGGGCCCTTGAGGGCCCCTCCCCCAGCCCCCATTGTGCTTGGTGGCGGGAGGTGGCCCCGGCTCTGCCGAACACCCTCCGGGAGGACCAGCATCCGAGCAGGTGGAAGGGCTCAGAGGGAGACTGGAATTTTCTGGCCTGGAGAAGGTAGGGTGCTGGGGCCCATGTGTGCACCCCTGGGGGCTATTCCCCAGGAGACAGCCTCACCCTGTGCCCCTGGCCTCGAGGCGCTGAAGGAGGGAGGGCTTCCTGAGGACCAGCCGCAGGAGGGGCACTCCTCATGCCTGCCGCCCCTCTTGGGCCCCACTGTTCCATGAAGATGTTGGGGTGGCCCCCTACTTGATGTCTGTGTTCTTCAGGCCCAGCTGCCTTCACCGCAGGGTGGGTGCCAGCCAGCGGGGTCTGGTCTGGGACAGCTGGCAAGCGAGAGGGGTGCCTTCAGTACCTCCCCCAGCAGCTGGGGCCCTCAGGCAGAGGTAGGGCTGGCCTCTGGAACACCAGCCAGCTGCAGTGTGTCCAGGCCCAGCCCGGCACCCTCAGCAGCGCCCTGGAGGTGAGGATCCCGGCCTGCCCCTTGTGCAGACAGACTTGGGACCCTGCTCAGCCCCTTCCTTGGAAGACCACAAGCCACTCTTTGACAAGCACTAACCGTGCACTGGGGCCCAGCCTAGGCCTGGAGCCCAGCAGACCCTGTGGTCACAGAGCTGACCCCAGTGCCCATCAGTGTTGTGATTAACTGGGTGGAGGCCCCCCTGTGGTGCTGGGGCAGGCCCTCAGTGCAAGGAAGGGGCAGCATGCCTGAGGAGTGGGAGGCCTGCACCCCGCTGGGAGGGTGGAGCACCCCGGGGCTGCTGCGCAGGGAAGCCACATAGTCCAGGCCCAGGGCCCCCATCCCGGGGCTGGATGGCAGTAAGCCCAGGATTCGTGGCTGCTGGGCTGGGTAGGGGGTTCAGGAGGGAAGAGATGGGTTCGTGGGCTCTGAGGGGAATGGGTGGAGGGCAGGGACAGCCTTAGGAGGCTGAGGCAGGCATCAGCCCCTTGCTCCCTGTACACATACCCCCCAGCGCTCCATTTTTGGAGCATGTGTGGCTCAGCTCCAGGCCTGCACAGTCCTGGAGACCAGCCTGGGGAGCTGGCCAGGGTGCAGTGATGACACACTCCCACCTGACCCGGGCCCGGCTTGCCCCTTGGCCCACCTTCAGGAGAGGAACAGCCCCTCGCCTCTAGGCCTGGCAGTTGTGCCTGCTTGGGACCCTGAGGGAGGGGACTTGAGAAAGGGCAGCAGAAGGAACCCACACATTCACAGCGCCACCAACCCCAGGGAGGAGAGAGCTCCATGGGGGAGGGGGCACCAGCCTGGATGCTGCCTGGCCACTTGCACCAATGCCTGGCCCTGGCAGGGGCTAGGGACCCCACAGACTCACAGCCCTTCTACGTTCCTCAGTGTCCCCACTCCCCTGATGTTCCTGAGCACCATACCCATCCTCTGGGGCTTCTGGGGCTCTGGTCAGTTCAGGAGCTGTTGCAGGCCATGTGAGGGGAGCTGTAATGTAGGCAGGCGCTTGGGGCCTTGGGGGCACCATGCCTTCCTGGGTCTCAGTGGTGGGGGGGGGCCCCCTGAGGGAGGCATGTTGTGAGGTTGAGGCAGAATCAGGGAGGGCTCATGGCTGTGTGAGAGCGTGTGAGCCCACCTCGATGTTGAGCTGGGGCAGCAGTGTGCATGTGGGAGAGTGCATGGTGTGTGTGTGTGTGTGCATATGTGCGTGCGTGTGTGTGTGAAGGATGGGTGACGACAGCTTGTGCCCACACCCAGCGGGGCTTACAAGCTGCACAGGCAGGAGAGTGAGACCCGCCACAGAGGTGCTGGGGCAGAGTGGTCCAGAGGAGAGTTCCCGGCCTGGGGCTTGGGTCCTGGGTGGCCGAGCTCTGTGCCTCCCTCTGGACCAGGGCATCCAGAGGAGCATGGCTGAGGCTGCACTCCGGGCTGACCATCTCAGGGCCTGGCTGTCCAGGACGGGCAGCTGGGGGCCCAGGCAGGGACATGGAGGATGGGTGCAGGAGCTGCCACCACAAAGCTGAGCTGGGGGCATCAGGGCAGGGGGCTATGGCCTGTCGGGCCGAGGGGTGAGGAGACATTGAGGCCTGCGGGTGGGTGAGCTCTGTAGCCCCCTCTGAGTGAAGACTGCCCCCACACAGCCCTGCAGCAGAGTGGAGGGGTGGGAGGGGACCATGCCTGCAGGAGCTCCAGGGAAGTGGGACCGAGAACCTGCTTTGGACTGTGCAGACAAGCAACAGCACAGGGCCCGTCATGCGCTGGAGTCCCGTTGTTTTCAGGGAGGGGAGGAGCCCGCCCCTGGGTCCCCGCCTGGTGAACTGTGCTGTGTGCGTGGTGCCTGCCTGGCGGCCTAAACTACAAAAAACACCCGCCCTGTGCAGCCTGCCCTAGGAGGGCCTGCGGGGGGAAGGAAATACCTAGGCCGCTGACCCTGCACTGCAGACCCGGGCGGGGTGGGGCGGGGCTCATCCTGCAGCGCCCCAGGACCCCCCAGCACCGTGTTCAGACCCCGGGTGAGCAGGGGCTTGATGGAGGAGGAGGCCTGGCTCTGACCAGCATCCTGAGATGCCAGGACACTGGTCAGAACTGGCCCAGCTGGGTTTGCAGAAGGGGGGCCTTCGCCTGGGCCTGCTTGCCTTAAACCCCTCCCAGAGGTGGCCCCCGCTGTGAGCCCCCCCCCCGCCCCACCGTGAGCCCCCCCCCCCCCCCCCCCCCCCAAAACCCCCCCCCCCCCCTCACCATGGGCCCCCCCAGCCCCCTTGCCTCACTGTGGGCCCCCCACCCCCCACCTCATTGTGAGCCCTCATGGTGAGCCTCTTGGCTTTTGCCACACACCCCATTGAAGCCCTTCCTGTGAGCCCCTCATGCCACCAGGTGAGACTGGCCCCACTGTGAGGCCTGCTTTCACACCCTGGCCTAGGAGCGAGCCCCCGAGAGTCCCTGGTCCCGGATATGAGAACCTTGTGAGCCCCTGGCCCTCCACCAATGCTCACATCCTCTACTTCCCACAGCCTTCCCCAGGGCTGAGCCCGCCTCACCACTCCCACACCTGGGCCAGGCAGCGTCCTGGCTGGTGGCCCCTGCGGTCACCCCTCTACCCCGCCCTGACACACGTTACTAATCCCAGTAGCTGCCTCTTCACAGACTCTGAAGCCCACGGGCGCTTCCAGCTCTAGCCAAGCTGAAGCCCCCACCAATCCTCGTCCTGGGTACCCTGGAGGTGTAGTTTGGGGTGAGATTTCTCTTGGACCTGTGTGCACAGACAGCCTGCAAATCCCAGGCCTGGCTCCTGGGGGGCCAGCACCCCTCCCCTCTCCTCCCAAGGGCCAACCCCCTGCTGACAACCTCATCCTGCAGCACTGGACAGTGCCCACCTCAGCTTGTCCCGCCTCTGTGTCAGGGGTCCTTTCTTTTTAAGTAAGAGTTTATTTTACAGCACTTTCACAGAAAAGGGCCAAGATGCAATGGCTCATGCCCGTAATCCCAGCACTTTGGGAGGCTGAGGCAGGAGGACTGCTTGAGACCTGCAGTTAGCTACGATTGTGCCACTGCACTCCTCCAGCCCAGGCGACAGAGCAAGACCCCGTCAAAAAAAAAAAAAAAAAAAAAAAAAGAGCGGACATGGGGTTCCGCTCTGTTGCCCGGGCTGGTGGAGTGCAGTAGTGTCATCTCGGCTCACTGTAACCTACCCCTCCCAGGTTCAAGCGATTCGCCCACCTCAGCCTCCCAAGTAGCTGGAACTACAAGCACATGCCTCCATGCCTGGTTAATTTTTGTATTAAGACCCCATCGTTTAAAAAAAAAATAAAAATTGCCCAGCATGGTGGCATGCGCCTGTAGTCGCAGCTACTCAGGAGGCCGAGGTGGGAGAATTGCTTGAGATCAGTAAGATTTACAGAAAAGCTGGGAGGATAGTGCCAAGTTCCCACATACCCTACACCCAGTTTCCCCATTGCTGACATCTTGTACTAGCGTGACATGCTCTCACAACCAATGGACCAGTATTGAGCTGGGATTATCCTCGCTGTCTGGATGGACACTGGCCATGGGGAGTCCACGCCATCTGGACGGACACTGGCCATGGGGTGTCCACGCTGTCTGGACGGACACTGGCCATGGGGTGTCCACACTGTCTGGACGGACACTGGCTATGGGGTGTCCACGCTGTCTGGACGGACACTGGCCAGGTGCTCTCTAGGGTGCGCCTTGGTTGGGATCCCTTTCAGCCTCATGTTTCCTTGTGGGTCTTCAGGGGGATGGGTTTTGGGAGGAAGACTATGGAGTTGACGGGACCTTCCCATGAGATGCCATGAAGCGTCCACGCCATCCAGGACGTTTGTGGTGACACTTTGGCCACCTGCCCAGGGTTGGTGTAGGGTGCGGGCCGCAAGGGTGCTCTCCCTCTTTCCCTCCCGCACCCTCTGAAGCCAGGTTAGCAGGTGCAGCCCGCAGGTAGGGCTGGAGGTCACGCTCCCCTCCTCCAGTACAGGGTGTCCACTCGGATGCTTTGGACTGACTGCATGAGGAGCTGTCTCCTGCCCCTTGTTTGGTTATCTATTCAGTCACATCCCTTGGCAACCTATGAGCCAGTCTGTAATCTGTTAACACAAGACTACTCGATTTCCGTCACTGCTCGGAGGGACCCAGTCTCCGGCACCGAGCACCCGACGCGCAGGTGCTGCACCCCAGCCTTCATCTCTGACTCTACGGTTGTCTCAGGCTCCTCTGCGCTTTCCCAGCCCCAGCCCTAGGGTCTGCCCATTCCCCACCAGGGGTTCCTGAGTCCTGTGATTGGGAGTGGAGGTAGGAACCAAGGCCTGGGCCCCAGGTGGGCTCTTGCTCCTAGGGTGTTTTTACACTGAGGCCTTTGCAGGGGCCACAGCAAAGGTGTGCGTGTGAACCCAGGTGCATCCACACGTCTGTATTTTCTGTGAAACCACCCACGTCTCTAGTCGGGCGTGGTGGCACGTGCCTGTAATCCCAGCTACTCAGGAGGCTGAGGCAGAGAACCACTTGAACCTGGGAGGCAGAGGCCACGGTGAGTGTAGATTACGCCACTGCACTCCAGCCTGGGTGACAAGAGTGAAACTTCATCTCCCGACTCTGTGAGACTCACCCCACGGTCTCCAGCTGTGATCGGCATCACATGGAATAGTCACGAGAAGCGCACAGTGGTGACACAGCGGCAGCCTCGGGCAAGGGCTGAACCTGTGTGCACACCTGTGCGTGTGTGTGTGGCGGGGCTAAGCAGCAAAGGATTCTGGCTGGAGTTGGCTCCAGCCAGCGTGGCAGCCATGGGCAGAGCGCACGAGGGGATGTCTGGAGCCAGGCGTGGAGTGGGGGCAGGGGATATGGTGCTAGGACAGGTGAGGCTGGGCACTTGCTCTGGTCAGGAGTCACGCTCGGGGCGGGAGGCCTGCTGGGTGGGTGTCCTAAGGCTCTCCAGGCTGCTGGGCGAGGAGTGAAGTGCTGGAGGCGGCCCAGGCTCAGGACTGGCTGGGATGAGGAGGCTGTTCTGCAGGGCACGATGGCATTTGCGTGTGGCCATCCGGCTCTGGTGGTGCCTGCTGGGTGCTGAGTGCTTATGCTGGCGGTGGCAGCAGGCTCAGGAGAGAATTACGGGCTGGAGGTGTGGCGCTGAGACCAGGGTCTGGGTTCTTCCAGGCCATTCCCCAAACCCCTATGTGGGTGCAAGTGACACAGCCCCCCAGAGCAAAGCGCCAGCCCTCACATGCCAGGGCACATCAGCCCGGGGCCGAGCCACGGTGGTCTTCAGAGCTGAGCCGATGGCGCCATTTTCTCAGCTGAGTCACGGAAGCCACTTGGCAGTCAGCCGCAGCGGGAGTGCTCATACCATGGGCACCGGCAGGCACCATGACTGCAGGTGGTCCCCAGAGAGCTGTTTGCTCAGTATTGCCCCCACACAGCTGGGCAGGCTGGCCCTGGCACTGAAGGCCTACTGCTCCATCTCTCCCTTGAGCCTCCTCTGTCCTAGGTTCCTGTCTTGCTGGGATCGGTGGGCTGAAGCCTGCTGTGATCAGACAGGCGGGGAGGGAGGGAGGCCTGCCTACCGGAGCCAGGGGGAGAAGAGAGGTGGCCCCAGGGCTGGAGTGTGCCAGCCTATGCAGCAGGGTCTGTGCTCCAAGGAGGAGAGCTCCTGCAGCTCCCCTGCCCACCCTCTCCTGGTGGCTGCCCCCGGACGAGTACCTGCTCCTGGGTCGCTGAGGCAGGAGACCCCTTAGCTCCCTCCCCCTCTTGCCCCTTCCCAGTACCCGGCCTGGGAGGCAGCAGTGGCAGGTGTGAGACCAGCAGCAGTCACTGGGAGGCTCCCGGCCTCTTTATGCAGCTGATGTGCCCTGGCATCTGAAGGCTAGTGCTTCATTCTGGGGGTCTGTGTCACTTGGGCCCACACAGTGGTCCTGGGAATGGCCCGGAAGAACCTGGGTCCTGGTCTCAGGGCCACGCCTCCATATGTGTGATCACACGTGTGAGTCTACAGGTCTGTCTGCACGTGTGTGCACGTGGGTCTGCATGTGAGGGCCTGCGGATGTACACTGGTGATAGTTTGCGCATATACATCTGTGTTTGCACCTGTGTGCACCACATATGTGCCCTATGGCGTTAATCTGTTTGCATGTGTATCTGAGTGTACATGTGTACATGTGTGCGTGCACGTGTATCTGCACATGCATCTGCATGTTCATGCATGTGCACGTGTGTGCACATGTACAAGTGTGTACATGTGTTTCTGTGGGTGTGTATCTGAGTGTGTCTGCACATGTGAATGTGTGTGGCTCTGAGGGGTACTGCACAGATGTGAGGAAGCAGGGCCATTTCCCCAGGAACCCTGACTGCCCCGTCTTCCTGCCCCGGGTGGGGAGGCCTCAGCTGCATAAAGAGGACGGGAGCCTCACCGGCGACTGCTGCTGGTCCCACACCTGCTGCTGCTGCCGCCTCCCAGGCCGGGTACCAGGAGGGGGCTAGAGGCAGAGGGAGCTAAGGGGTCTCCTGCCTCAGCGACCCAGGAGCAGGTACTCATCCAGGGGCAGCCACCAGGAGAGGGTGGGCTGGGGAGCTGAGCACAGACCCTGCGGCACGGCCCTCTCCTGGGCACTTGCCCACTTTGGGCTGGCTGGTCTGTGGCACAGCTGTCTCTGAGGGTCGCAGATGCTGAGTGTGGCCTCAAATCACAGAGTCTATAACCTTGCTGGACACCTTCCCTCCTGGACAGATGCCTGCCTTCATCGTGACCCCAGCTGGGCACCGTCTGGGTTGGGACTGTTGAGGACCAGGAGCCTGGACTGGTTGGGGGGAGCCCTGGGACCCTAGGCACCTGGAAAGGGCAGCGGGATCAGCCGGGGGCTGGAGGGAGGATGGAGGTCCTTTGTGGAGGTGCAGGGTGTGGAGGAAAGCAGAGCAGCGCCACTGGGGGCCAAGGGGCTGTGGAGATTGTGGACTGGCGGCACTTTGAGGTCTGGGGGCTGATGGTGGTTCAGGCATGGGAGGCTGTGAAGGACAGGGCTGATGGGGCTGCAGGGTGGGGGCCAATGGGGCCACAAGGATTTGGGGGCTAGGGAGCTGGAGGGGCCAGGAGGGATTAGGTGGCTAGGCAGGCTGGGGAGACCCTCCAGATGCTGAAACCCTGTGGGACCCTCCCCAACAACCTGGGTGCGGCTGGGGGCTGGGGTGGTGGCCATGGGTGCAGTGGACACTGAGACCCCCAGTCCCCACACACTTGAAGGTGCTTGCCTCAGTGTGCCCACCTGCCTCACGAAGGCAGCTCACCCAGCTGGGGCCCCGCATCTGCACGAGCAGGGGCCGGATCAGGTGGGGGCTTTCACTTCCGTTTAAGGTGGTAAGCTCCACATCATCCGGTGTGTGAGCAGAGGGGCCAGCTGCGAGGCGAGCCTCGAGCCCCGGCTCTGAGCCCTGCGCGCTGATAGCTCCTAGATGCAGGCCACTGGCTGACCCCCGCCCCACCCCGCAGGACCTGCCCGCCCGCCCCTATGACCAACATGAGCTGGAGCTTCCTAACGCGGCTGCTGGAGGAGATCCACAACCACTCCACCTTCGTGGGCAAGGTGTGGCTCACGGTGTTGGTGGTCTTCCGCATCGTGCTGACGGCCGTGGGCGGCGAGGCCATCTACTCGGACGAGCAGGCCAAGTTCACCTGCAACACGCGGCAGCCAGGCTGCGACAACGTCTGCTACGACGCCTTCGCGCCCCTGTCGCACGTGCGATTCTGGGTCTTCCAGATCGTGGTCATCTCCACGCCCTCGGTCATGTACCTGGGCTACGCCGTGCACCGCCTGGCCCGCGCGTCCGAGCAGGAGCGGCGCCGCGCCCTCCGCCGCCGCCCCGGGCCCCGCCGCGCGCCCAGGGCGCACCTGCCGCCCCCGCACGCCGGGTGGCCCGAGCCCGCCGACCTGGGTGAGGAGGAGCCCATGCTGGGCCTGGGCGAGGAGGAGGAGGAGGAGGAGCCGGGCGCGGCCGAGGGCGCGGCCGAGGACGCGGAGGAGGCCGGCGCGGAGGAGGCGTGCGCCAAGGGTGCCGGCGCGGACGGGAAGGCGGCGGGGACCCCGGGCCCGGCCGGGCAGCACGACGGGCGGAGGCGCATCCAGAGAGAGGGCCTGATGCGCGTGTACGTGGCCCAGCTGGTGGCCAGGGCGGCCTTCGAGGTGGCCTTCCTGGTGGGCCAGTACCTACTGTACGGCTTCGAGGTGCGGCCGTTCTTCCCCTGCAGCCGCCGGCCCTGCCCGCACGTGGTGGACTGCTTCGTGTCCCGCCCTACTGAGAAGACCGTCTTCCTGCTGGTCATGTACGTGGTCAGCTGCCTGTGCCTGCTGCTCAACCTCTGCGAGATGGCCCACCTGGGCCTGGGCAGCGCGCAGGACGCCGTGCGCGGCCGCCGCGGCCCCCCGGCCCCCGCCCCCAACCCCGCGCCGCGGCCCCCACCCTGCGCCTTCCCGGCCGCGGCTGCCGGCTTGGCCTGCCCTCCCGACTACAGCCTAGTGGTGCGGGCGGCCGAGCGCGCTCGGGCGCACGACCAGAACCTGGCAAACCTGGCCCTGCAGGCGCTGCGCGACAGGCCGGCGACCGGGGACCGCGACCGGGAGACTTCGCCATGCGCGGGCCTCCCTGCGGCCTCCCGGGCGCCCCCCAGGGCAGGCGCCCCCGCGTCTGGAACTGGCAGTGCCACCTCTGCGGGCACCGTCGGGGAGCAGGGCCGGCCGGGCGCCCACGAACGCCCAGGAGCCAAGCCCAGGGCAGGCTCCGAGAAGGGCAGCGCCAGCAGCAGGGACGGGAAGACCACCGTGTGGATCTGAGGCGCTGGCCTGCGAGCTAGCGGTGGGGGGGGAGAAGGAGGGTCATGGGGCTCCCGTGGAAATCTGTGACCCCTTCAACTCAGCCTGCTCCTTAGCCGGTGGCCTCAGGCAGACCCTGCCCGGAGGGGCAGCCAGGCCACTCAGGGAAGGGGCTGAAAGCCGCGGAGGAGTGCCCTGGCTTGGTCACTGCTGGGGCCAAGGTGGGGTGGAGAGGGGGTCTACGAGACAGGAAGGGCCCTCTGCTGTGGTCTGAACCCGAGGGGGGCTGGGGCTGGGGCTGGGGCACTGACGACTCCACCCCTATCCTCAGCTGGAATGAGTCCTCTGGGATGCCAGCTTCCCTTGGAGCTTCCCTGGAGCAACCAAGGAGGCGCCAGGGTGCCTGGCATGGGCATCAGTTGGTGTGCGTGGGGCTGCTTGTCCCCATTCCCTGCAACAGCAAATGGGGCTCCTTCTTCAGCCCTCCCCCTCCGAGCCCCAAACTGAGACCCACTGGGAGCTGGGAGCCTGGAGCGGACAGCGCCACACCCTTAGATTCTGCGCTGCCGGCCCTCCCTTCCTCTGGGAGACTTGGAGCTCTGCAAAGATGTTGACCATGCCTTGTAGCTTGGACCCAATGGTTGGTTGGAGCCTGGGGGTTTGGCCATGCTGGGGGAAGGGGGCTCTTCCTGCCCATGGCCTCTCTGCGCTCCTCCCTAATTCAGACCCAGCCTCCGGAAGAAAGGGAGTAAAATAAAACTACCTTTTGTTTATAACCTTGTGTGTACATGTGAACGAATCTGCACGTGTGGCTGTGTGTGACTGCATCCATATGTATGTGCATTGCGTGTATGTGTGGGAGCAAGCATACATGTGTATGATGGGTGTGTGTGCATGGCTACCACATGGGGAGACATGGCTTAGCTCCAGGCTGGCTGGGAGAGGAGACCCCTTCCCAGGGACAGGCAGGGGAGTACAGCCACAGAAGAGCCCCTGTAGCTTGTCACAAAACACTTGGGGGCTGCTCAGTGCAGGCAGCATGCTGGGGGCAGGGGCAGGTGGGGCTGGGCGGCGAGTACTGTTGGTGACAAAGAAAGGACAGCTCAGAGCCCTAAGTCAGGCCGCAGCTCGGTGGATGGAGGGCGGCTGTCTCAGGCCCTGTTGTGACCAGGATGTCGGTCAGAGCCTGCAGGGGTGGCTTTGGTGAGGGGCAGAGAGGGCTCAGGGGCCCTGGAGCACTCCAGGTGCCTGGCTCCCTCCCAGCCTCCCTTAAACCTAGTGCAGCCTGGCCGGCCGCCCCTCCTGGGCTGCACACCCCTCTCTCCATGGTGTCCCCCAGCCAAGACCCAAGCTTAGGCTGAGCCCCGAGTCTCACCCAAGCCTGACTCCGGGCAGATGCTAACTGTAAGCTGAGCCCCTCTCCTTTCTGGGGCTTGCCTGGCTGACCTCTGGCCCCAGGTGAGCCCCAACTCGTGGAGCCGTGGATGGCAATGCTGAAAGTGCAGCCTCAGGGAAGAAAGCGAGTACGAACCCCACAGGGTCCACTGCAGCGGGGACGGGGACGGGGACGCACCAGGAGCCTCTCCAGCACAGGGACGGGCGGAGCTGCTGACAGTGCCACCGTGAGAGAGACCAGGTCTCTGTGGTGGGGGCCGTGGTGCCCAGCCATGCTGAATAACTGGGCATGGTTCACCCTTCCTCCACCTTTGGTTCTGTTCAGGCCTGATCAGACAAGGTCACCCGAGTTAGGGAGGCCAATCTGCTTTCCTCAGTCCACCCATTCAAGTGTTGGTCTCATCCGGAAATGCCCTCACAGACATGCCTAGAATAACGTGTGACTCCATATCTGGGCATCCTGTGGCCCAGTCAGGTGAACACAAAGTGAACCATCACAGGCCACGTCTGTAATCCCAGCACTTTGGGAAGCTGAGGTGGGAGCATCACTTGAGCCCAGGAGTTCAAGACCAGCCTGAGCAACACAGACCCCATGTCTACAAAACATTTCAGTTAGCGGGGTGCAGTGGCATGCACCTGTGGACCCAGCTCAGGAGGCTGGGGTGGGAAGATCACTTGAGCTGGGGAGGTCGAGGTTGCAGTGAGCTGTGACTGCACCAGGCACTCCAGCTGGGACAACAGAGGAGGACCCCGTCTCAAAATAAATGGGAGCAGCCATCAGAGGCAGACTGAAAGCAGAACTGCTGCTCTGAGGAACTTTAGTCTTTGGCTGTATATCTAGATATAGATATAAAAATAGGATACAGCATATTCTGTTTCTCTGGAGAACCCTGACTATACACATCCCTCACCAGAGCTGTTAAGAGGGCACCGAGGTGCTAGGACAGCTGGAAATGACCCTTAACTTGGAGGGTGTGTCCGCTGGGACTGCAGAGACAGCACCACGCACTGGGTGCCTTAAACAGCAGACACCGATTGTCTCGCAGCCCTAGAGGGGAAGGCCAAAACCGAAGTGTGGGCAGGGCCAATTCCTCCCGTGGCCTCCCTCCTGGGCCCATGGACGCCGTCTCCTCCCTGTGTCCTCACAGGGCTGTCCCTGTGTGTGCATCTGTGTCCTAATCTCCTCTTCTTTTAAGGACACCAGCCGCCGTGGATTAGGGCCCACCCCAATGAACTCATTTTAACTTAATCACCTCTTTAAAGGCTTTGTCTCCAATTATAGCCTCATTCTGAAGTTCCTGCAGGTTACGACTTCAACACAGCAGTTTTGAGGGACAACTGCCTGTATTACAGGGTAGATGTCCAATGGGAAGCTGCAGTGTCACAAGAGAAGGGGAGACGGGACTGGAGGACAGACCTCCCTTCTTGGACACCTGGGGATAGGTGGGCCATGTCGGATTTGTGAACATCTGCTGGTGGGCTTAGGCTCTGCTGCTGTCCCTCCCACTGGGATGGCCCTGGCTGTGCCAGCCCCAGCCTCCCCACCATCTGCTAGTTCCCCTCTAAGACCAAGTCCTTGATAATCTGGACGTTCCCACAATGTCATGCCTGAGCCCCGAGCCACCAAGCAGGGCTGGCGTCTCCCACTACAGGAGGTCGTGGTATCTTAGCAGCTCCAGTCTGCGGACTCCCAGAGGCCAGCCCTGTCCCACACACCTGGCACTTCAGTCACTTGTAAAAAAAACAAGCTTTGGTTTCCCCAGCGACCTGGGGTGGCCATGACGGTGATGAGCTGAGGCTGACACTGCTGACACCACAGCCCCCCTCCCTCCTCAGCCCTGCATCTTCCCAGCTCTGGGGCTAGCTGGCAGTGTGAGGTTGGGGGGCAGTCGCTGGTGGGCCCAGCCCTGTGCACAGCAGGGCAGAGCCTGGCCATGGGTGGAGCAGGCTGGCGGGCTGGGCCTCTGCGTCTCACCTCCATCCGTTTCCACAGCCTCAGCCAACTCTCGGCCACTCGTGGGAGGGCGCAGTGGGGCGGGGGCCAGCTGCTCAGAGACTCCCCCAGAATGGGCAGTGGTGCTCTCTTTCCTCTAGGAAGGGAGGAAGCCCTGAGGCGAGAATAACAGGAAACCACCTTCCCCCAACCCCGAAGGACCTGGGAAGCAGGGCTGCGACCCCCACGCCCAGGCGCCTTCCAGTTCTCAGACCCCTGGCCCCAGCTGGTCCCTGAGGCCAGGACGGGGGCCAGGTTTCCTCCCCCAGGTGGCAGGTCCCAGTCCCCTGCCTGCTGATAAGGGGAACAGCAGCCCAGGGCTGGCCAGGCTGGAGTGGAGGGTCCAGGAAGGCTTCTTGGAGGTGGTGTGGAGCCAGGCCCCACAGGCTCTGGCACTGGGCTATGGCCCCTGCAACTCTGGGACTGAAAGCTCTGTTTCCTCTGAGTCCATCTGACCCGGAGTGGCCCTGTGTGGTGGTGGTGGCTTCTTTGGGGTGGGGGGCCCTCGGCAGGATGGATCGGGAGCCACTGGGCCCGGCCGGGGGCACCAGGTTGCTGCGTGCCTTTCCTGCTGCCTGTGCAGGGGCGGAAGCAAATTCCTCTGCTGGCTGAGGCCCAGGCTGACGTGAGGCTGGAGGAACTCGACTCCCGCCTATGGGTGTTGTCCCTGCCAGCCCCCGCCCCGGGTGTCATCCTGCCTGGCTTCTGCTCTGTCCGCGTGGGGCTGCCTGGGATGCACTGGGTCACCCTCAGGAACGCCAGGCTCCAGCAGAGGAAGGAGTGGCGACTGCGGCTAGGAAGCGCATTCTAGGCCTGGCCTGTCTCAAAGTGGAAGTGGCAGATGGCAGGGGACTGAGGCCCAGGGACCTTGGGGGACCCAGCTGAGTCACTCCAGGTCCCTCACCATGCCCGGCCTCTCTCCTGGTTGGGCAGGAAGGGACCTGGGACCTCACAAGGCTTGGGGCAGGTGGGGAGGCTGTGAGGAGGGTTCAGAAGGGCGAGCAGGAGCTCTGGGGACAGGGACGCTGCAGCGGGGGGAGTGGGCTGGCAGCAGGGCCTCCATGGCCACGTCCAGGGCCTGTGGGAATTCGGTGACTGCCCAATGTCACCTGAGCACCTAAGACATGCCAGGTGCTGGCCCAGGCCCTTGGGACACGGCAGGGAGCTACGGCAGGGATTCTCTGCTTGGTCAAACTCCGGCCGGGATCTGGAACCTTCTCCTAGGCCCATCTGTGCACTTGCTTAGAAAATCCAGTTTTAGTAAGAGCCCTGCCAGGTCGGTTAAACCAGAAGTCCACATCCTGGATATCTGCTCACCCTTGGTGACATGTGATCGGGTCCCTCATTTTCCACTGTCCCCTGGTGACGTCTGATCACCCTGCCTGCCTGCAGCAAGGACCCTGTGAGGTGGGTTTAGCCAGACACTCCCTTCAGCCCTGATGTCTCCTGTTAGCCATTCCCACCCACGGACTCAACACTGCTCCTCGGCTTCTCCACTCCCCACCTGCTTATTGGAGTTGAGCCCCATCTCCCCCAAGGCCGGGCCCACACCACATGCTGCGCCGTGGTGCAGTCTTCTTCACGGACACTAAGACATGTCATGAGGAATTCTTTCTTCAACAGCTACACAAAGACCTCTGCTTGTCTGGACTCTGTGCCATAAAGACACTTTGAAGAAGTCTTCATTGGTGCTTTGAGGGCCATGGAGAAGGACATGTGTCAACAGGGTACACGGACCCCAGGAGGCCAGCAAGGCGGGCACAGCTTGGACCAGAGCAGTCAGACACTAGGACTGAAGGCTGCTGCGGCCACCTTGCGGATAGGTCACCTACTACCAGAGTGGCCACTGTACAGGCCTGCTCAGCAGGGGGCATGGGACATCATGGCAGTGTGCGGTTTCTGCCTAAACCGTCCTCTGTGAGTTCAGCTGTGAAGAGACGATGAGAGTCACTGGAAGGGCATTTTGTGGGAAGACAGGCTGGGCTCCAGGGAGGGCTTGGCATCCTGCACTAAAGAGGATTGCAGACATGACGGGGGTGACCCTGGCCTGAAAAAAGCAGCAGTTTTTCAGACATGACGGGGGTGACCCTGGCCTGAAAAAATCACCAAGGATGTGATTGGAAACCGTGATTGTGTCTCGTTATGTCACATTGATTAGGGGTGTGGAGGGGCTGTGGGCAGGATGGTGCCCGTCCTTATCCATGGAGACCTTTGGGGACAGAGCCTCCTGCCGCCTGCAGCTGACGTCCCAGTGGTCCAGCAAATGAAGAAACGATGACACAGATTAGGCAAATGCAGCCACATGTGGACAGCGGGCAAACTGGTAGGTACCCTTATAAACAGAGGAAGCGGGCAGGCACGGTGGTTCACGCCTGTCATCGCAGCGCTTTAGGAAGCTGACGAGGGTGAATCACTTGAGCCCATGAGTTCAAGACCAGCCTGGGCAACATGGGGAGACCCTGTCTCTACAAAAAATACAAACATTAGCCGGCGTGCTGGAGCACGCCAGCCACCCAGAGGCTGAGGCGGGAGGATTGCTTGAACTCCAGAGCTCGAAGTCAGCCTAGGCAACATAGCCAGATCCTGTCTTTACAAAAAATAAAAATAAAAAAAGGAATGCTGACACATGCCAGACCGTAGACGGACTTTGAGGATACCATGCTGAGTGAAATACGCCGTCGCGAAGGGCAAATCCCGTACGACTCCGCTCTGTGAGGTCCCTGGTGGCTCGCTCAGGGAGGCAGACGGTAGAATGGGGATCCAGGGGTTGGGGAGTGGGTGTTTAACGGGGAGTTTCAGGTTGGATTAAGAGGTTCTGGAGATGGGTGGCGGTGCCAAGCACGGGTGGGGGAAGGCGAGGAATGCACCGAGCGTGCACCGGAAGGTGGTTAAGAGGTGCGCAGAAACCACACTATCTGCGGGGGGTGGAGCCTGCGCGCTGACGGACAGGCCAAGTCCCCGCCCCCGAAACACACCCCACGTATGATGCTCCGCCCCTCACAGATGCCCCACCCAACCCGCAGGCACGCTCGCCCCGCTCGCCCCTTCCAGCCCGGGTGGCCCGGCTCTTCACGCACGCACGCTCCGTCTGCTCCGCCCCGCGATGCCCCGCCCCTTCCCGCCCCCCTCCGGCGGCCACCGCCAGGGGACGCTGTAGCACTCGCCGCTCCCGCTTCCTTGCGCCCCTCCCGCCGCTGCACTCCTGTCCAAGATGGCGGCCGCGGCGCTGCTTCGATGCGCGGCTCCGGGGCGCGGAGGCCCGGCCGGGAGCTGGCGACTGCGCGTAGCGCCAAGGCGCCGCCTGACCCAGGGTTCCTGCAGTCGCAGCGGCGACCCTACGGCCGGAGCGGCCTGGTCCTGCTTCCGGCTGGACGAGCGCGCGCTGCTGCGCGTGCGCGGCCCCGACGCGGCGCCGTTCCTGCTAGGGTTGCTGACCAATGAACTGCCGCTTCCGGGTCCCGCCGCCGGAGATGCCCCGCCCCCTCCGCGTGCGGGCTACGCTCACTTCCTGAACGTGCAGGGCCGGACGCTCTATGACGTCATTGTGTACGGGTAAGCGCGGAAGGGGAGGGCGCCCAGGGGGCAGGCACCCAGGGGAGTGGCCGGGGACCGGCACCCAGCGGCAGGGCGGGCTCCCGGGGCCTGCAGAGGGCTTGGGAGGTGGGGTGGAAGCTCAGGGGCGGGTGGGCCAGAGACTGGCACCCAGCGGCAGCCACCGAGAAGATTCCACTTGGGATGGACACCCAGGGGAAGCTCACCCAGGGCCCAGCACCCAGAGGCTCGGCTTGACACCCGGGGATGGGTCAGTGACTCACCCAGAGGAGGCCTGGGTGTCCACCATATCAGAACAGAGGCGTCTCTAGGTGGGCACCTCCCAAGTGGGCCACCTGGTGAACCTTCTCCCTCCGTAGGGGCAGGGGGCTCAGGGGCCCGGGGCTCAGGGGCCCCGCCTGGTGTTTTTGAGTGACAGCTTGTGCTGACACTCCGAGTTCTGTGTTCCTTGTGTTTCTCTGTGTCCCCTCCCAGATCTCCCCATTGCTGGCACATTCGCAGTTGACTCGGTCATCTGTGCTGACAACATCACGACTGTCGGTGATGTTCATGCTGGACTTCCTGAGCTACGTCGGGTGAATTTTTGGACTCACTGTGTCTCTGCAAATGGCTTTACCTGATATCCTGGCTGACTGGAAAAATCTTAGCTTAGAAATTGTCACTGAGAATGTTCACATGACAACGTTGTTTTCTTGCTGCCAGCTTTTCTGAGAGGTCTAGTGCCGTTCTTATTTCCAGTCCTTTGTACATGAACTGTGTTTTTCTCTGGAAGCTTTTAGAAGCTTTTCTTTAACTGTGATGTCATGAAATGTGTCTGAGTTTGGGCGTTTTCCATATCACATTGCTGGGCACTTACTGGGCTCTTTAAATCTAGAACCACAGTCTGTGAAATAGCGTCCTCAGGTCAGACCCAGCCCATTGCCTGTATTTATAATAAAATTCTCTGGGACCCTGACCCGTTGGATTTTTTTTTTTTTTTTTTGAGATGTAGTTTCACTCTTGTTGCCCAGGCTGGAGTGCAGTGGTGCGGTCTTGGTGCTCTGCAACCTCCGCCTCCGGGTTCAAGAGATTGTCCCACCTCAGCCTCCTGAGTAGCTGGGACTACAGATGCCTGCCACCACACCCAGCTAATTTTTATATTTTTAGTAGAAACAGGGTTTCACCATATTGGCCTGGCTGGTTTCAAACTCTTTGCCTCTGGTGATCCATGCAGCTTGGCCTCCCAAAGTGCTGGGATTACATGCGTGAGCCACCACGCCCAGCCTGGGGCTGCTTTTTTCTAGAGTGGCAGAGTTGTGGTGCGAGTATGGGCCTCAAGCCTAAGTTATTCACTGGCCCTTTATAGAAAGTGTGCCCACTTCAGCTCAATAGGCTTAAATCTCCATGCCCCCGTTCAGAGATGAAGTCATCATTGTTTGTCTTATACGTTCATTACATTCCATCTAGCTGCTTTAATTTCTTCATCTTAAGAACTACAGTCTTTGATTCTCTTTGGCCTCCTGTGTCAGTACTTTGTTGTTCACATGTTAGCCTTGTGATGATGTAGTTTTGGTCCCCAAATTCCCTTCCTTATTTCTGCATTCCTCCTTTGTCCTTTTCCCTTCGAGTCCGAGTTACGTTGAATTCCTATTCTTAGTAAGTGTTCTGCCCGGCGCGGTGGCTCATGCCTGTATTCCCAGCACTTTGGGAGACCGAGGCGGGCAGATCACCTGAGGTCGGGAGTTCGAGACCAGCCTGACCAACATGGAGAAACCCTGTCTCTACTAAAAGTACAAAAATTAGCCAGGTGTGGTGGCGCATGCCTGTGATCCTAGCTACTTGGGAGGCTGAGGCAGGACAATGTCTTGAACCCGGGAGGCAGAGGTGCAGTGAGCCGAGATCCCACTCCAGCCTGGGCAGTGAGTGCAAAACTCTGTCTGAAAAAAGTAAGTAAGTGCTCTGCGGTATAGCAGTTTTGGGTTCTCGGCAAAAGAGCAGAATGTACAGCGATTTTCCATGTTACCCCACCAGAGTGCTGTTTCGCCACCGTTGATGAACCTCTGTTGACATGCTCCCATCACCTGGAGTGCACGGTTTCCATGAGGGCTCACTCTTGGCGTGGTGCGTTCATGAGTTGGGCAAACGTACTGTCGCATCACGCGGAGTAGTGCCACTGCCTTAATCCTCTGTGCCCTGCCCATCCATCCATCTCCCTAATTCCTGGTCACTGCTGCTGTTTTCAGTGTTTCCAGAGTTTCACGTGTTCTGGAACGTCCTGTCGTTGACTCATGCATCTGTAGCCTCTTCACATTTGCATCCTGCACTTACTGGTACGCGTTTAGATTTCTCCGTGTTATTTCATAGCTTGATGGCTAATTTCTTTAGTACTGGTTAGTTCTCTGTGTCTGGATGGGCCTCAGTTTACTCGTCACTCTTCTACAGGACATACTGGTTGCGTCCGGGTTTCGGCAGTTATGAGCGGAGCTGCCGTAAACATCCATGTGCAGGTTTTTGTATGGGTCTAAGTTTTTTGTTTTGTTTTGTTTTGTTTTTTAAGACACAGGGTCTCGCTCCACTGCCCAGGCTAGAGTGCAGTGGCACGGTCATGGCTCACTGTACCCTCCAACTCCTGGGCTCAAGCGATCCTCCCACCCAGCCTCCCAGGACCGCAGGTAGTTGAGGTCTCACTGTGTTGCTTGGGCTGCTCTTGAACTCCTGGGCACAAGCCATTCTCCTGCCTCAGCTTTGCAAAGTATTGGGATTACAGGCATGAGCCACTGTGCCCAGCCTCCTTGGGGTCCCATTCTATCAGTTGGTTTTGATCTGTCTTCATGTAGGAGGCAGAAAGAGGCTGTGGGCTCCTGTCGTGGGTAGGGTTGTGGTCCGGTGGTCTTGCTGTGGGCTGGCTGGGGCAAGAACATGGACTCCGTCCAGGGCTCGGCAGCCCCAGGAGTGTCAGGGCTGTGGCCTGTGTCTGGCCAGCACTGAGGAGCAGGAGAGACTTGTTAGGCCTCCAGTGGCCTGGGGAGGGAGGGGGGAGGAGAGAGGAGGGAAGGAGGCCGGCCAGGCCCCAGGGCAGCGTTTTCTTGAACATGACTGGAAACCCTTGGATCTGATGGCCGGACCAGAGCCACTGCGGACCTCTCTCCTCTTCCTGTGTCCTCGCTCCCAGAGGGGCTTCCGGGCTCAGCAAACAAAAGCATGGGACACCCAGGTCTGTCTCAGATGAGCAGCGGGTGATCTGTAGGTTCGTCCTATGTGGTCTTTGGGATACACTAAAAAAAAGTCATTTGTTGTTGATGTGAAGTTCCAGTTTAACCAGGTACCCTGTATTTTCTCTGACAGCCCTGTCCCCAGCGCCCCTCATGATGGGTGCAGGCCAAGGGTGCTGCTCAGCGTCTGGACAGCCCCCACCACAGAGAACGATGAGGCTGAGAAAGCTCCCACGCTGGGGCTCTCCATGTGGCGAGTCTCCTGGTGGTCTTCATGTGTGGCAGGGGTTGGGGTGGGCCCGGGGTCACATCCCAGCTCAGTTGGTCCTGAGAAGCTGCCTGGTAGACAGTCACTGGCACAGAGGGCTGGAAAGTGCCCTCAATCCCAGAACCTGGGTCCTGTGAGGACATCCACCCTGTGTGAGGTCAGGGAGTGCCCAGCAGATGGGGGTGGCAGGGGGTGCCAGCATGGGTGGGGGTCCCTGCCAAGGCAGGCAGCTGAGCTGGCCATACCTCAGAGTGCAGGGGCCCAAAGCTTGGACTTCCCTGGGCCCCACTCTGGACCGGCAGACCCAAGGGACACCCTGGCCCCATCCTGCCTGTTCCTCCCCAGCTCCTGCCCTTGCCCTGTAGGGCTCTGCAGCCTCCCCTGTGCCTGTGTGTCTCAGCTCACTAGACCCTGGACCTGCGGTCCCTCAGCCACACTCCAGTCCCCTTACTCTGTCCCGAGACTCAGCCTGGTGCTGCTCAGCCCGTCTAGTGCCCAGCACCCTGTGCCCTGACCTCACATGTGTCCCTCTGTCCAGGTCCCCTGCTTGCCTGTGTTTTAGTCCGTCTTCATCTGCTGACTGCACTGTGGATTTTGAAAATACAAACATGCATGCACGTGGTTAAGGACTCACTGATGTCAGGCGGCTGGGGGGAAAGGACTGCCGGCTGCCTTCTCTCTCGTAGCTCTCAGACACTGCAGGGGAAGGTTCTTGTTTTTTTTTTTTCCTACATCTTATTTAGAAATAATTATAGATTTCACAGGAAGTTGCAAAAAAAAAAAAAACCTGTAGGAGGAGCTGGCACAGACCCCTCCCCAGTTCCCCTGATTGCACACAGGGCACGTGTGGGGTCTCTGGATTTGTGTGTCTTGCTGTGTGCCTGCCTGCACCCACAGGTATAATGCTGCGATTTTATCACTGTGAATACCTGTGGCCATGATCAGGCCCACATGGCTTCCCGCTCCTGCCTCTGCATGGCCACCCCCGACACCCGGAAACCTGTTCTCCTGCTGTAGATTTGAGCTGTCTCAGAAGTGTCATAGATGTATGCACTGGCCTAAGCCTTTGCCCTCACATCCACCCACATCCGTCCATCTCCTCCTCCGTGTTCTTGCTGAGAAGTCCCCCGTGCTGTGGTGACACTTGATTCTCCCTTTCTGGCCGTTACCGTAGAGCTGGCCTCAGTGGGCTTTCGCTGCAGGTTTCCTGTGAGCTGCCATCTTTGTTCCTCGGTGTTCCAGGCCCAGGAGTGAAGGGTCAGGCCGCAGGGGAGTTGCTAGTTTGGTGTTGTGAGGCCCTGCACCCTGTTTTCCAGAGGGGCGCCCATTCTGCCTCCTCACCAGCAGCGTGCCAGTGACCTGGTTTCTCCTCGTGCTGGCCAGCGGTCTGTGCCGCCACTGCATCTGTTTTCCCTGGTGGCGTGGTGACCTTTTCGCAGCGCACCTGCGGCTGCCCCCTGTGCTGTCCTTACTGTTCTTCCTGGCATCTCAGCCCACGTGTGTAAATGATGTGTGTTCCCCTGCCTCGCCGGTGCTGTAGCTGTCCTGGAGGGTGGGCTGGCTCTGCTGGCTGTGGCAGTTGGCGCTGTTCACCCTCCCTGAGGCAGGGTCCTCAGTGAGATGTATGGCTGCTGCTTCTGTGGCTGCTGGCACGTGGGTATGACCACAGGGTGGAGTGAGACTGCAGAGATGAGGGTGGCAGGCCCCTGCGTGGCACCTGAAGCCTGTGTGACTGGCAAGGACTGAGCCCTCTCCCAGCAGAAGGGGCTGGGCCACCTGCTCTTGGGCTCCTCTTTGGCAGGTTCTCGGGGGGGGGG